CAGCCCTTTTTCTTATTTTACCCTTATAACAGTGCTGTAGGTGTAAAATAACTTCTCTTAGAATTTCAAGGTAGAGGGCAAAGATTTATTAAAACATGTAAAAATGTCTTGTTGAGGACATTTTTGTGTAGTGTGTTGTGTAGTGAATTAGTGGTGAACTTTGAACTCTGCTGTATCTTGATAGATTGATAGATACTGTTATGGTTGGTACATTGTGTCAACTTGGGGAGTCCAGAGGTTTGGCTAAGTGACTCAGCAGAAAGCCAAGGTGCTTACTTTATATACACCCTGAGCCTGTAAAAGAGGAGGGCATAGAGATTATGTGAGAGCTACATGCCGCTTAGGTGGGGATAGCCTGTTTACAATGTAAGGAAAAAAGAGGCTGCTTGCCGCCATTCCTCCCTTTTGCTCTGGCTGCTTTGCTGTTCAGCTGCCATTCCCTGCTTTGCTCTTGTTGCTTTGCTGTCTTCTGCCTCGGAGCCAGCCAAGTATGGACTGAAACCTCCACAAACTGTGAGCTAAATAAACCTTTCCTTCCTTCGTTTTGGATATTGGTTATTTTGTCTCCGCAACAAAAAAAAAGTAACCAAGACAGAATTTGGTACCAGGAGGGGGGTCATTGCTGTGACTATACCTGACCATGTGGTTCAAGAGCCTTTGGAAATGGCTTGTGGGAAGTGTTCGGAAAGGTTCAAAGATGTCGCCTAAAAGAAAAGCGTTAAAACACCTTTGGCTGTTCTGTCTGGGAGGTTCTGGTCAGAGCTCCAAAGACCAGAAGGCTGATAAAAATCGTGCCGGTAAAGACCAGGTTCAGGAGGTCTCTGCTGGAAAGAAGGACTCCAGGCGGTGTATGTTATGGCTTGGCAGAAAGTTTGTCTGGGTTTTGTTCGTGTCCAGAGACTTTGCCTAAGACTGAGATTAAGGGCGGCAGTGGACTGATTAATCTGGCAAGAGAAGTTTCCCAGGCACTCAAATGTTGGGAAAGTTACATGACTATTGTTGGGGGCTTTTAGCCGGATTTATATTAAAAATCAAGAGCAAAGAGCCCAACAAGATGATTTAAAATGTTGTGAGTTTGGCCAAAAAAAAGCTCCAATAAAGCTGTAGACTGCAAAAATAAGGCTAAAGAGATCTCCATTGCTGAGAAAAAACAAGAAAATAAAAAAGATGGCCTAAAGACACCACAAGCAGCAACTCTCTACCCTTTGCAGCCTCCAAACTGCAAATGCAAAAGACCTTGCCTTAAAAAAAAAGCCACAGAGCACCATGTTCCAAAATGGCGGTGGCAGCTGCACCAGGTTTCAAAATGGCGGCAACATAAAAAATTTGTTCCTCAAAATTAGATTCAGAGTGCCCAGTGATCCAGTCACTTGACCCCTATGGCCAAAAAAAAAAAAAGCTTGGCTACTGTTCCAGATGGCAACAGACCTTATCATCCATGTGGCCCTGGCTTTCAATACATAAAAAATACAAGAGTTCTGAGGTTGAAAAGGCTTCCACCCAGATTTCAAAAGGCCTGGGAGGCCAGGCAGTGTGCCCCTGAGGGAGCAATATATAAAGCTGTAAATATAAAACAAAAGATACACTAAAAACCTCAGTTTAAAAAAGCCAGGACCATAGATCATCAAAAAAAAGCTACAAAAAAACCCCAAAACAGGCCTGTTTACAATGTAAGAAAAAAAAAAAAAGAAACTGCTTGCCGCCATTTCTCCCTTTTGCTCTGGCTGCTTTGCCGTTCGGCTGCCATTCCCCCCTTTGCTCTTGTTGCTTTGCTATCTTCTGCCTCGGAGCCAGCCAAATATGGACTAAAACCTCCACAAACTGTGAGCTAAATAAACTTTTCCTTCCTTAATTTTGGGTGATGGGTATTTCGTCTCAACAACAACAAAAAAAGTAACCAAGACAGATGTATAACAACAATTTCATACAGTTCAACCTAATACATACTGGATCATTCTCCAATCTTACACTAATTTCTAAAAAAGAAACAGTTCTGAATGAATGGATTATTTTGTGTGCTTACATTAATAAATCAACTAATCGTTTATTAATTTAAAAAGACTTTGAAATTGAAAACCAAGGACAGACACCTACTGGAAAATCCACACGTATTTGCCAAATGTAGGTGGAACTTTTATTTTCCAGGCACTTCTGCTATTAACTGTGGATATAAAGATTTAATTGTTTTTTAAATGATAATAATTTTAAGAATATGACTTTAATGTTACTGAGAGTGAATTTTGTGATTATAAAATTATGAACTTAGGAGTAAGGAGTCTCTACCTTTGGTTACACCTTGCAGTGGGTTCTTATTTATAGACATTAGTCTATTTAAAACGTACCTGGTGTAATAGTGGTGGTAAGGAATTACAATCAAGTTCAATAGTACTATAATTCTATTTTTTCACTCTGTTGGACTTTGTTTTTTTTTTTTTTTTGCGGTACTGGGGATCGAACTCAGGACCTTGCACTTGCCAGGTAGGCGCTTGTGCCACTGAGCTATAACCCCCTTGGACTTTGTTTTTAAATAGTTAACCATTTTACTTTCCTAACCCTCACTAAATAGTCTTTAGTCAAGGAAAAAGTGGACACCTTGGCGTCCTTGCCCCTGGAGGAAGGCCTGGGTCATGGACTGGGCTTCTCCTTGTTCCAAGCGAGCCCTGAGGACTTGTGGGTTGCCTGTCCTCAGCCTCTTTGCTCGCTTGCTTGCTGTGCCTGTGAGCTGGGAATCTTAAGGGAGGTCTTGCAACCTTTGATAGATCGCCTTCTGGGCAAGGCTGTAATGAGTGAGCTGAGTGAAGGCCAAGAGAATGCACTTAAAATTCCTGCATGCGATGGCTCATCTACATATGGAGCCCCTTTTTTATTTTTCCTTTTTGTCCAATAGATACATTTATTAGCATGTGGGAATTTTTGCAAAATGTTGAGTGTCATTGTGGCATTGTCACACATGTATATAATGTAATTTGATTATATTACCCTCCAATCTGCCATGTTTTTAAATTTTTATGTGCAGAGTTCCCTTACCAACATAGACATTACACCACCTTCAAAGGAAATGAACGTATATATTCAAAAATTTGATTGAAAAAATACTTTAAGGAAATACGAAATCCTCTTTTTAAGGATAACGTTTAATGAAATCCAATTCTTTTTCACCTGTAGATTTCATGAAGACTAAATTTTGGTCTTTTTTTGCCTTTCATGGTTATGTGGTCCCAAGGCTAGAGTGTGGGATTGGATCATAGGAAAGAGACATTGTTTCCAGGATTTATTATTATATTCAAATTCTGCCTTATTAAACTTAGATTTTGTTTTTCATTAAAAAAACCAAAATAACGAAAATTGATATGTATACATAAGGAAAGCTGGAATAGGTATGTTGCTGATGTCTTTATTGAAAGGAACAGTCAATGCTTAAAATTTTCTTTTTTTTCTTGACCAATTTTGCATGCTTAAATGTAGTAATCGGAATGACTGATCTGAAAACAACAATGTGCAGTATAGGAATCATTGTTGAACTCCTACCATCTTGTATGGTGAAGTTCTGCATCATTTCCAGTGGTTTTTTTTTTTTATTGTTGTTACTGTCTTTGATTGTTTGGTCAATCTTACATTCTTATGTCTGGTGGACTGAGCAACTTTGTTGAAGATAACAGTATGTAATGTAGCAACCATTGTTAATTCCTATCATTTTGTTTTGAGGTCATGTATCATTTTTATTGTCTTTATGTTGTTTTAATTTTGTCTTCATCGTTGTTTTGTTAGTTTCGTTTTTAATTTTTCAAAGAAAAAAAATTTTAAAAAATAAACTTAGATTTACAAACATTGGTTTAGATTTAATGACGGATTCAGTATCACTTCCTGTCTTCTTGGCCTAAAAGACCTGAAGTGTTCAGTGGGTCAGTGATACTTTTATGTTGATATTTTTATCACATAGAGAAAAAGTCAGTATTATTATTAATTATTTTTAATTAACTTTGATTATTCATGAACCACCTTCATGTTTTTTATAAGGGAACATATCTATTCACTAAATGCTTTCTTTAAAGTAACTGTTAAAACATAACTTATTTTTGAACATAAGTTTTCCGCAGGAAACTCCAATCACTACCATCACTATTGCTTATTCAGTTGCTTAATTTCTTTTATAAATCTGCGTTTTCAAACTTTCAGTTACAAATAAGGTAATTTTTTAAAATCGTTGCTTTTTTCTCTTAAATTTTAAAGAGAAACTTTGTATTTCTAATATAGCTTACTGGCTAGATTTCTCTATTGCAAATTTAAAACATACATGTGTATTAAAAAATAGGATGAAAGAATCTACTTATTGTACCATTTAAAATCACATGATACATTGTAGTGGGATTTGAACCAAACTTTGAGGTAAAAGCAAATATGGGCCATTTCTGGAAGAATAATCCCGAAGTTGCCACTTCGACACAGAGCTCCCTGCTAATGCTTGCAAGGGATGTCACCACCGTGCGTGACCCACCTGCCATTTGGGTCAAGAGGCGCCACGTGGGGTTCAGTGCCCTTTTTCTAAAATGTTGCCCTGGTTCCCCCTTAAAGAGGGCAGGTGACCTCTACTTTTCAGGCCTGTAAAGATACTGGCAGTAATGAATTTTTATTTTTCTGTAAGTCTCACTCTAAATCAGATTCTACATTATGCTAGTGTCTATATATAAAAAGATGACCAATTGAAATTCAAATGTAATGAGAGTGAAGGTTTTCTATTCAGCACAGCTGCCTTTGTTTTTAGCTCTGGTAGGTTCTTTGCACCAAAACAGTGCAGCTTTTCTCTCTGCTTCAGCAATCACCGTATGTATCTGGATAGCAAAGACATCTTCACTAACCCATTTCAGAAGTGAAATACAGTGTGCTCTAGTTTTCCAGTTTTATTTTTTTTTTTTTAAGTACACAGAGATTTGGATGTGTAGTCTTAAGAAAAACCAAAGTATTCTTTCTGAAGCATGCAAATGTGTCTCTCCATCACCTAGGAAACTATTATGGGACACCGAAACCTCCCAGCCAGCCAGTCAGTGGGAAAGTGATTACAACGGATGCCTTGCAAAGCCTTCAGTCTGGCTCCAAGCAGTCGACCCCAAAACGAACCAAGTCCTACAATGATATGCAGAATGCTGGCATAGCCCATGCAGAGAATGAGGAGGAGGATGACGTCCCTGAAATGAACAGTAGCTTCACAGGTAAAGGCCAGACCTATGTGGATGAGGTTGAAAGCGGGTGGGAGGGGAGGGGAGGGGAGGGGTAAGGAGTTAGAAGGGTGCTGTTCTGGAGAGGAATCAGTGGTCTCCAGATTTCAAATGGACCACCCAGTGCTGGGAGAGGAGTGGTCCTGTCCTCAGGCTGCTGTTATGCTTCCTCTCAGCAATATTTTAACTTTCCCCAAATATTTTAATCAAGGTGGAGGTAAGTGTATAAAAAAAGAAGTCAAGAAATATCAGCTTGGTTTATGTTTTTTTGAAAATGGTATATTTAAACTTTTTTACTTTGTGGATTGTTTTGGTCTTGAAACATCTCATGTCCATAATTATGGCTGATTATTATAAAGAGAAATAGGAGAATTTATTTTATCAGTTGAATGTCAGCTGATGCTGTGTGGAGCAGCATCCCTTTCTCTCACACTTTACTGAACACTCTCCTTCAAGGGGTATAAAGGGAAAAAGAACCATTGTAAGATTTGACCTTTCCTGTGCATTTATTATATAGCATGTATTTCTGATTGCAGTGTATGTTTGTGTGTCCATTCAGAGCTGTGTACCTCTAGCTTAGACATGCTGCATGGGCAGGGGAGGGATTTCCAAGAACAGGGCCTCTGCATAAGGTCTTATGATCCAGGTATTGCACACCCCTAGGGGACACCATTCAGAGGCTACAGTGTGTGTTCCTGGGTAAGTGCAGTGACTCAGAACCACTCAAGTGTATTTTCTACTGCCTCAGGGTTTGACCTTACGTAGTAACTTGGACTATAATAGTTGTGTAGTATGTGCGTCACCTCAGCCTATAACTTGACTCAGCAAAGCATCTTGTTTCTTCTAGTTTTCTAACATTTAATTCTTTAAAGTTATAGCTATGTTTTCAGCACAGTAGGTCTTCCTCTCATGTGGTCCTTTTTTCACATCCCCGTGCTCTTGTCATTAGTTTGGTAGACTAAGCCCCAAAGAATGGAAAATTTACTAGATCTGCATTTCCCTCCAGCATCACCAACTTTAATAGAACATTCAGGGAAAAGTTTCTTACACAGGCTGTATGGCTGAATATTGTCTATAGGCTGTGTGGGTTTCTCTGAGGTTTTATAAAATCTGTCGCCCAAGTTGAAAACCCTAAAATTTGTTCACATGGCAATTAAAAGTTTCTTTGATGACTTTATTACCATGGCAATGGCATAGCTGAGCCCTGTTGCAAGAAATATTAGATAAAGGAGGAGGAAATACTGGGTTCCATGGTGTGGCTCTTGGTGTTTATCTTTTATGAACATTTGGCCTAATCTCACTTGCCTGTTAATTGACAGGCTAGAATTAAATTCCTTCTACATTTCTCCTAACAAATCCCAGATTTGATCCCATGAAAATTTCTTTTCTCAATTAGAATGTGCTAGACCAGTGGCTCTATAGCCACAATATCTAAAAGAACCTCAACATTTTTTATGTCTGTCTTTATTAAAATCAGCTGACTTCATCCCTTGAGACTACTGCCTCCATTTATACTAGTCCTCACCAAAATTAAAACAGATTATCAAAAAGTATGAACGTATCTTTTTTTAAAATCTAGTGCTGTATTGTCTTGATGGCTCAATAAATAAGAGTAACACCATCATATAACCCAAAACGTAGATGTGCCCACAGCAAGAGAAGACTTGGTGGGTAAGGTGCCATGAAACAGTCCTGCCAAGCGGTTTTGTGGGCCTCCAAAAGCTGTGTGCCTGCCCCACATTAAGTGCCATAGTAAGTAGGCTTCTCAGCAAGACACAAGCACAAAGCAGACGTAGTTGACTGTAGGTCTTCATATATTTCCTATTTCTAACTACTATAAAGCTGTGTGCCTCAAACAGTCTGACCCCGTATCATCCCCACTTGAAATTCTGGCTCTAAGCTCATGTCAGCCTATGCCATTACTCTAAAGTCATGTGGTGATTAGTTTCTGCAGAAAACAAAATTCAGGTCGCATCTGTGCCTTCACTAACAAGATTAAAACTGTCACTACTGATGATCTGTCATATACTAAAGCTCATTCTTTCAAAAACTTAGCACATCAATCTGTGCTACATGTGTGGGATTTGTTGTGTCAAAGCATTTTGTGTTTTGAACCACATTAAATCTACCTTCTACTTTGAGCCTAGCTTAACAGCAGCATAATGAGGTCTGGCTGAGCCAGCTACAGTAAAGGCATGAGAATCTTACCCAAATGAAGAAACACTGTGGACCCATTAAAAATGCTGTTCATAAGAATGTTTGAAATAATACCCAGTTGCTGCCACCTTTACTGCCCTTTGCTTGGATCTTTGAAGGAGTCATAGCTAGTGCATCTAAACACTGGCATTGTCTGTGGACAGAGCACCAGCTAGCTTGGCGTGCAGACATGCTGGAAAAGCAGCCCCACTTCCATTCCGCAGCGGATGACTGAGGCCGGAGCTGAGCAATGAACAGACACTCAGCAGAGGACTGGCTGTCAGGCACCAGACAATAGGACTGCCTTCCACAACATGTACTCAATTTATGGACGTAAAGGGCGCCATTGAGAGAGAGTGCACACTCCTTCTGTGTGCTTATTAAAGGTAGAATTGTACTGTTGGCCAAAGCACAGTTACTTAGGCAAACAAACAGAATCTTTTCTAAAACTATTTTACTTGTTATGGGCAGCTTGAAAGCTCTGTAATAAGCCACCACAACAAAAGCATCTCTCATTTATCCATTAATCACCTCCAGAAGATGTCAAAACATTATTTAATCATATTTCTAGGCTTTTTCCTGGTTGCCCCCCACTGCTGAACATTAGCTTGCTGACACTTGCACTGGTATGCAATGATACAGCACTGTTCTGAATGTTAAACAATAGCACTTACAAGAGCGAATGTTCCTGTACTACTGTGTGAAAGACACATTTCTTTATGCATTCTCCAGGGAGGTCATGTAAGCTCTCCAGGGCCCAAAGCCCCAGTGAGTGTCACATACACCGTTCCAACCCTGAAAATCCAACTCCGGAATCTGCATGCACATCTGCTGTGCTATTCGTTTTGAATCAGTTCTTTCGGCTCTAAGAAGCCCCAACTGCATTGACTTACTTTGCTCAGTAAGAGGTGTGCATAAATCTATGCACGTGTACGATTTAAGATAAGCCCCAGGAAGGATTTTTTGGACATGAACATGCGCTCTCAAAGTGACTTCCAAAAGTCCCCAAGAGAGGATGTGCATGTATATCTGCACATTAGTTTGTGTATGTTTGGGAACTTCCGGTTTACTATGAATAGATATATTATTTGTGTTCATTTATGGTTTTTAAACCATTCTCACATGTATCTTGTCAATCTCCTGGAAATTTTGAGAGATAGCAACTCAGATGTTACTTTCCCATTTTACACATGAGAACACTAAAGAAAGTGCGTGCTCTACCAGTAAACCTTGGGAGAGCCAAGCTTCTTGTCTCCCCATCCGTGCTCATTCCAGCGCTCTCCTCCGCATGTGCTTTTTGGATTCCTTGGCAGCCTTCAGTTAGAAAGTGCTAGCAATGCTCCTGAGTGGTCTGTAAATCAAATGAAAGACTTTTTCAAAAGCTTGAACATGTATCAAAATCAAAGCCCTGACTAAGGCTGTGCACTCTTAAATCTATTCTACATCTGTCCCAGCCCCTTGTTTTTGGACTTTCCATCTGCTTTCAGACAATTGTATTATTTAAGATTCTCTTTAACTGGAAAGAAAACATGGAGAACACATAAAATAAGAATGCAAGCCAGGCGTGGTGGTCCACATTTGTAATCCCAGGCACTGGGAAGCTGCGGCCGGAGGATAAGAAGTTTGAGCAAAGGGCCCAGGGAACCACACCACTGCTCTGGGAACCACACCGTCAACACGAAGACTTCGGGGGCACTACGGGTCACATTGAGGCAACTGCCTGGACAGTTTAGTGACTTAGCAAGACCTTGTATCAAAATAAAGTAAGAGCTGAGGCTGTAGCTCCATGTGAAGGCTCTGGGTTCATTCCCCAGTAATGAGTAGATTAACTAATTAAATAATAAATTTTAAAACAAACACTTGTATAATTTAAAATATCTCATTGCTGGACGGATATTTTTTTCACCAGCAGACTAAAATCACTTAGATACTTTCCTAGCAAACTAATATTCCCTCCATGTAGTTTAGGTTTGGGAATCCCAGCAGAATGTTGGGGGTTTTTTTTTGGTACAGGGAATCGAACTCAGGACCTTGCATTTGCCAGGCAGGTACTGTGCTGCTGAGCTATGTCCCTGGCCCAGAATTTTGGTTTTAACATGAATTGTGTATACTTAATGTTAAACTGGGTCTCTCTCTTTCTCATCTCATATGTGGTAGCCCACCTATAGCTACTACCCTTTTGTCTTACATCCATTTTCTATTAAAGTAGTTCAATTAAAATTTACGATGAGGGGCTGGGGATTTAGCTCAGTGGCACAGCGCCTGCCTGGCAAGCGCAAGGTCATGAGTTTGATTCCCGGTACCGGAAGGAAAAAAAAAGTAAAAAATAAAAAATTAATGGTGAAATTATTCGTGCCTTCCTGACAGTGTGCTGCCTCTTAGATATCATATGTAAACATGAACACAGGTTGGGTGTGGTGACATATAGCTGTTATCCCAGCTCCTTGGGGTGCTTGAGAAAACTGCCCTGGAGGAGGAAGGATTTAGTCTGGCTCGTTTTGGAGGTTCAGAGAACGTTGCTTGACTCCATCGTTTATGGGCCTCTGGTGAACGCTGGGCCCTGAATCTGGTGAGCAGAGCTGCTCGCCTCACAGCGAGCAGGACACACAGAGGGCGTGGCCGGGCAAAAGGTGCCCTTTCAGGGTGCGCCCCAGGGACACACGATACTTGCTACACGTTCTGTACGTATGTGGGAACACTGGATTCTCCTGACCTTCGCATCATGGCCCTTCGACAGATGAGGAAGTGCTCAGAAAGGTAAAGGTGTTCGGTCGCCCGCCATTAGAAACAAACCGTGACTTGGCCTGATGTCATAGCTGACTTTTCCTGCCTACTTGGAGCACTGGCCGTCTGGGGCCAGACCTGCCCTAAAGACAAAAACCGATGAGACTCTTGGTCAAGAGGGTGGTGGTGATGGACGTGGCGGCTGGCCAGGGCTTTTGACTTTTGCTAGACGCTGTACTGAGTGCTTCACAGAAATAACTCACTAACCCTTCCCGCTGCCCTGTGCGCCTGGTGTCATCATCCCCCATGTCTAGACAGGAAACTGAGGCACGCTGAGGTTGGAACGTGGTCCTTGTTAGCAAATGGCAAAGTCAGGAACCAAACACAGGCCCTGTGCCTCCAGAGTCAGTCCTTACAATCAAACTTCCGCTTTTTCACTTTGCTTGCTTGTGCCAGATTGCATTATTTGAAAAGGAATTTTATTAATGAAAAATTGGAAGATTTCATATAAAAAAATACAGATTTCCTTCTCTAAAAAAATCAGAGGTCTGAGATCCTAAGCCCACTTTGCTGTGGGCCCTGAAACCCCTGCAGCTGCTGCCGCCCTCCAGCACTCCCTGCCCTCCTGTGTCCTTTGAGCCCCCCAGTGAGGTGGGGGAGGGGCTGGTCCTGGCCACCCCCGCTCCTGGCCCAGGGGCTGCACCGCAGCACCCGTGGAGCTGTGGGTTCTAGTGCTTCTGGAAGATGGCAGGTGTAAATGCAGCTGAAAATATGCCTTCGTACAACTGATGTTCTGCCTTGTGTTTTCTTTCCATTCTTTGGAGAATTCCTTCTAGCTTCAGAGTATACCAGCTGAATCCTATTTTTAAAATACGTACACATTTTGAGTTGGTCTTTTGAAGTAGGGAGCCTTTAAGAGAAGCAAGGCTGAGTCTTCTCATTCTTTCTAGGGCTTTGAATTCATGCTGTTATTGGTCAGTCATTTCACAGTGGTGTTTTTTTCTGTTTTGGCCCAATTTCCTCTTTGTTTTTTCAGACTTACAGTTGTTTTATTAATCTGAGTTCTTGATACGAGTTGAAGAACCACCTCATAATGGTTTCAGCAGGAAAGCAACTTCGGGGAATGACATCACTGAAGAGAGCAGTGGGGCCTTGGTTTCAGTGTTGAGTTAAAGGGTAGCTGAGGGATCTTAAGCAGCTTTCTCTGTCTTTCAGCTCTGCTCTCCTTTGTGTGGCTCCATTTTTCAGTAGATCTTGCTACGCTTTGTGGAAGTGGCCACCAGCAGCCATGGCTTAACAACCTGCCACCTAGATTTCTCCGGCATCGGGAGGTCACCACTGACTTGGTAGTTCGAGCAAAGTTTCCATACCTGACCATTGCTGGTTTGCTGTAATTCCTGAACCAACTGCAAAGGCAGAGGTGTTCTGCTGAGGAAGGAGTGTGACTTGGAGCCGGTCCTGGGGTGGAGGGTGGCTTCCTAAAGGGGTTGAGCGGCACTGCTGGAAGACAAGGGAAGTGACGCAGCCACAGTGGGAGAAACTTAGGCAGCTTCCTCGGCCTGGAGTTTGGTGGGTGTGTTAGCTTCACACGCATGGCGTATCCTCTGCCCAGCGTTGAGATTGCCTTCCGTTTGTATGTGTCATTGGGAGCGGCTCGTCAGAGACAGCTTTGAGAACAGGCTTGTATTGCTCTTCAGTCTGCTTTCACTCACTCAGAAATGTCTACAGGGGAATTACGGGGGGGGGGGGGATAGAAAACCACTGTGTTCCCTGAGTATTATGTTTTAAAGCCCCGTGGAGGTTGACATTTAATATCATCAGCTTCCATAAAAGTTCAGCCAGAATGTCAGTAGTGCTGTTGTGGACACTTGGATGACGTCACCCCTGATGCTTCTAGCTAATGGAAGGTGAGGAGGCTGGTGTGTTTGGAGCTTTCTTTTAAGACCCAAGTCACACAGTCCACCCACACAGCCGTGCTCTGGGGTGACTGTCTTGGTTGTCACAGGAACAGTCTCTTCTCTCCGAAAAGAGGCTCAAATCTGACTCATTGTAAGCTATCTCCATATTGTAAACTTTTATACTTTGCAGCTTAGTTTGTCAGTCTTTGATCTTTGCCAGTATCTACCAAAATAATTTTTTAAATGCTGAAAGAAGAAAATGCCACTGTATTGATGTTTTCAGCATGGATTTTTTTTTCTGAGCCATGAAACCAAATAATATGAATGGAACGAGGGGGTAGATCAGTCTGTTTTGCAGGGCTTCTGAGTTTGACTCTTTAGAGTCTGAATTATTCAGGGGATTTTTATATGACATTTCCAAGATTGTGAGCAATGCATTACTGAACCCGGGCCTCACACACGCTATGCAGGGCTTTTAAGACTGTAGCTGTATCATAGTATACTTCCCAGGCTTGCACTGTGGTGCTGAATGCCTTTGTGCTTATCTGTTTTTCTCTGTTCCCCACAACCTGACAACAGCCGATTCTGGTGACCAGGACGAGCACGCTCTCCAGGAGGCAGCGCTCTCATCTGTGAATAGTAGCATCGCTGCTGCTCCCATCACGGACCCTTCTCAGAAGTTCCCTCAGTACCTACCTCTTTCTGCGGAGGATAATTTAGGTCCTCTACCTGAGAACTGGGAGATGGCCTATACGGAAAACGGAGAAGTCTACTTTATAGAGTAAAGTATACTATTCTTTGTACCTGAATCTGTCTCTTCCACTTCCTCCCTCTCTCTAGCAGCTACAGATGTAAATTAGATCTGAAAGAACTGATCACTCAGTGATGTTACTCTTTCAAAAAATTTAACAAATCTTTGTTAAAGAAATTCCTTACTCAAGTCAAAGTGTTAATAGTCTTAGAAAATAGAATTTTCTGTATATAGAATTACACTTAGTCACAGAAATAAATGTACATATATAATACAAAGTGTTTTTATGTACATATTTTTACAGAAGTGAGATTTTTATATATTCTTCCATGATACTGTTCTTTTAATGTTTACCTAACAGTAGAAATTTCACTCTATGTGAATATAACAGATGTAATTATGTAGCAAAAATAGTTTAATTGGTCTTTTTTGGTGATATCTAAAAACATGGAGAATGTCCGTGATAAAATGAGTCAAAATACTATATTTTCAAAAACTGACAATTGTTGGTTGGGAAAATCACCTTATCTTAGATTTTGCTGAATGTCTTTAATTGTAGGTATTTCTTCATTTTTTGCTAGTTATTTGTTAAATGTTTAACTATGCAGAAGGGTATGGTTTATCATTCTAATCATTGAATCAGAGGAATTTGAAGAAACATAAGGTTAATAATTTCCCCCAAAAGTTAGGCAACTAAATCAGGATTTATATACATATCTGTCTGTTCTGTCTACTTAACTATCTAGTTATGAAATATAAAGAATGTATTTAGTCATTACAATGGTAAATTCTCTGCTTATTTTTTCTGAATTGGCTTGTGATTTGCTTACTGTTGAACTTTAAGACTTCCTCATGTATTCTGGATCCAACTCCTTACCATATTTGTAATTAGTGGCATTTTGTACAAGCCTCACTCTTCATTGTTTTACTGTGGTTTTTGAGTAGCAGAAATACTCAACTTTGGTGGGATATTAGAAATACTCAGCTTCTAGTATATCATTTTTATTTCTGTATCTAAGTAGATATAATTCTATGTATAGAATCTGGGATTATCTATTAATAGTTGGGTTTAAGTAAGGAATGTATTTTCTAACCATATTACCCATTTCTGTGGGTTTTGAATTTTTTAAATTTTTTATACTTAACATGTATTCTGTAATTAGAAAAAAATAGGAAAAATAAGAAAGTATAATTTTCCTAAACATAGGACAGTGAGGGAAAGACTTGGGTCTCAGAACAGCCTCTCTGAGAAGCTGCATGGTGAGAAGTCTGAGATCCATGAAAGAGAGCCCCAACATTACTCTCCAGTCGGAGGGAGGGGACAGACCACGTTTCCTTTCTCGTGTGAATGGAAAGTGTGCCCTGAAGATGTGGAGCGAGGGGTATGTTCTCCTGAGAGTCAGAATGCTATGGTGATTAACACCTAACAAGTCATGTTGTCTTTACTACCTACTAGTTAGGAGTCCTGGGAAAGTCACATGTACCATTTTGTGACTCAGTTTTCCATATCTGTGAATGGAGGAAGTCCATGAGCCCTGTCTCCTTGCTAGACTGTCATGAGAAGTAGAGGAGACATTAAGAATAAAGTATTAGTGCATAATAATGAGCTCTCATTACTGTTACTTTTGCTGTTTTCATCATCATTATTTGCAGTTATTATGGAGGAGTTTCAACACTGTTAAAATCAAAATAGATGTCAGCTTATAAGCTCAGGATTTGTGCTTAGCTTTTCAAAAAGTTGTTTTTAAAATTGTGCCTATTAGTAAGGAAGAATTGTGCTGAGAAAATGACGTATAACAGAGGCATTCCTAACACAGAATAATGTGTGAAACTCAAGTGCCTGGGAAGGAATGTCCCAGTCACCTTGCTGAAGACTGGATTGAGGACTTTGGAAAAGCAACTTAGATCTGCCCATGGATCTTGGGCTGTTACCTCCAGACTGTGGCTGGCTTGCAGCAGAGTGCAGTGCTTTGCCAGTCTGCAAAACTTAATTTGCTCTTAGCTGATGTAAGACCAGTGTTACCTTGACCTGAGGTTTAAAGAATTATATAAAAATGTGCCTATGACAGGTGTGAGATTCCATCAGAGGCTGTCAAGTACTGTAGATATTAAGGGGCTTGGGGTGTAGCTTGGTGGCAAAGTGCTTGCCTAGTACTTGCTAGTCCCTGGTTCGATCCCCAGCACCACTAAATAAATACATGCCATTTATATTTTAGCTTAAATTATATGTCCTAGTTACTGAGGTTTTCAAGTATCTTTCCTTCTGAAAAACAATTTTTTTAGTACTTACATTGAATAGCAACTTACATTTCACTAGATTTAGATCTGTCTTGCCTTGTGTGTTTATATATGTGTGTGTTAGTTTCACAGTTTGAGGGAAATCTAAAATACTGGAAGTTGAAAAGAACTTTTAAAAATCAAGCATGTATTTAGAAACCTTGGGCATTGTATAGAAAACAAATCTAAGAAAACTGAAAAGGTAAGGAAATAAAGCCAACTGCTCTAGAGCTAGAGGGTCAGGGGAGTGACAGGTTATTCCTCGGGTTTTCTTTATGGTCATTCAGCCCAGAGCTGGAGATAAAGAAGCCAGCAACCCAGAAGTGACAGTGATGCTGATAGCACAAGTCTTCTTTTCTAGCTGAAGGGTCAGAAAGGGGCATCCTTCAAGACAGGAGGCTTTACTGCACACTTGTTACACTCCAGGCAACAGCCGGAATACCCTGTGGTCCCACCCTACCGCATCAGCCGAGGTCAAGCGAAGACACGGCCACCCCTGCTGCGATGCTGCAGGGGCTTAGTTGCAGTGAGACAGGAAGCAGCACTGGCTTTTCCCCACCTGGATTCTGTGGGGACCCCGTGAGGGGAGGCGGGAATCCACCTCACCTGTGGGAATCACTGCTGACTGAAGGGGCTGAGAGAGGAGTCCGGATTTTTGGCACCGTCCCGCGGTTAAGTTCAGCCTCTCCCCATAGGGTCAGTGAGGCCGAGCCGGGAGCAGCAGTGAGCTCTTCCTCTCAGCTGCCGTGGTGTCAGTAAGGCCTGCTAGGGAGCTGGCGTCACCTTCCCATCCAGCAGGGCTTCACCCAGCTAGATGTAGTAGGTAGCGCCTCCTCTCCTGTCTGGGATGGTTAGGGAAAGCTGGCAAAAATAGGTTTCAATAAGACCCTTAGTCCTGTACTATAATACCCCAATAGCCAGACAAAGCAAAAACAAACAAACAAACAAAAAAAGACCATAAATTCGTGTATCAAGATCCAAGAAAATTTCAAATTGAGTGAAAAAAAAAAAACCGTCAGCAGATGTCAACACCAAGATGACAGAGATGTTGGACTTATGTAAAAAAAATTTGAATTAGCCATTACAAAAATATTTCATGAAGAATAATAATCATACTTGAAATAAACAGAAAAATAGAGTGTTTCAGCAAAAAGTAAACTCAGGAAAACAATAGAAGATATAAAAAGGAGAAATTTTTGAACTCAAAAACACCACAGTCAAAATAAAAAGCTCCACAGATAGATTTAGTATTACTCAGCTGTTCAGTAGAAGAATGAGAGAGAGAGAGGAAAGAAGCTATGGCTTGAAGATAGAAAACAGAGCTTCCCCAACCTGAACAACACAGAAATGACTGAGAAAAGGCAAAGGAACCAACCTGCAGAGACTTCCAATCCGTAAGAAAAGGTCCAGCATTTGTCGTTGGAGTCCTGGATGAAGAGAAAGTAGGTGAGACTGGTGGGAAGGGCAAGTTCTTGGAGAACTAACATCTGAAAGTCCTCCAAATCTGACAAGAGAAACTAAAGAGAAATAAACCCACAGGTTCAAGAAGCCGAGTAAACTCAAACAGAATAAACACAAAGAAAACACACATCATGGTCAAATTTCTGAAAACTAAAACCAGAACTTCTGAAATGAACAAGAGAAATGAGACCTCATATGAGGATAAAATAATCAAATGACAGCTTGTTTCTCCTCAAACGGCAGAGGCCATAAGGAAGAAACACAGCACTTTTCAGGTGCTAAAAGAAAAGAAAAATTAATCCAGTACTCTATATCCTATGAAAATATCCTTTAGAATGAAGAGAAAATAAGAGTATTCTTATATGAAGGAACACTGAAACTTTGGGACCAGTGGCCTACCCTAAATGATTGACTAAAGGATATTCTCTAAAGAGAAGGAAAATTCTAAAAGAAACCTTGGAACATTAGGAAGGAAAAAACTTAGAGTGGAAAAAGTAAAGGTGACCCATTTTTCTTCTCTTCGAAAATAAAGGTGAAGCCAGAATAACACTTCTCTCCCAATGCACATAAAGCTTATTTTCAGGCAGTTTTCTTATAAATGAGGCAGGGAAAAGGATTTATAAGTAAAAATAAGCTTTGTATACTTTAATCAAACGAAGGGAAAAATTAATGACACTACTTACCTGTGATTATGTGCATCTCTGTGGCATATGTATATAACTACCACTTTAAAAGGTCTACAAAGATATACACTTGGAAGTACAGTAAGAGTGGACAAATGTACTAGAGAAAAAAAATCAAAGACAGAGAAAGCAAAATGGAAGACTTAAGCCATAAAGTTATCAATAATTATGCTAAAGGAACTAAACTTAAAACAGCAGTTAACAACAGATCGTCAAAAAGTGTATTGAAATAACAACCCAATTATATGCTGTCTACAAAATCTTATTCCAAGCATAACAAGTATTAAAATATTGGAAAAATATATCTTACAAATATGAAGCAATAAAAAATGAATTGTGTATTAAAACTCAAAGTCTGCAGACACTTAAAAATGTATAGCACGTTTCTAAAAACCTATGAGTCAAAGAAGAAATCACAAGAGAAAAATTTTTTAGGAAAATTGAACTAAATGAAAGTACAGCATATCAAAATAGGTGGGACACAGCCAAACCAATGGTGAAAGGTAAATTCATAGCAATATACATGTACATTAGAAAAGACTAAAGCTTGAATTCAACAATCTAAGGTTTTACCCCAGGAACTTAGAAAAAGTAAATGAAACTCAAGCAGATGAAAGAAAATAATATAGAGCAAAAATCTATCAAACCAAAAGCGGAAAACCAAGGGAGAAAACTGCTGAAACAAATGGCTGGTCCTTCAAAAGGTTAACAGAACTAGACAATGTCCAGCACACTGATGAAGCGAAACAGACGTCACCAACAGTAGGAATCTGAGGACATTCAGTGTGAGGGAGTGCTGCTGGCAAACACGTATGTCCACACACCCTCGCACGTGGGCACACACACACACACACACACGCATGCACACAGATTTGGCAACTTTGATGAAGTGGACCAATTCCTTAAGAAGAACAGAGCCCTACCAAGCATCTTATATAAATGCTTTTATTTAAATAGCCCTACAACTACTAAGAGAAAGTGAATTTGTAATTTTAAAACTCTTGGAAAAAATATCAGACCCAGGTGTTCACTGGAGAGAACACAGACTATTTATACGCAATCTCTTCCCAAAAATGGAAGAAGGGGAAGATCTCCCAATTATATTTGTGAAAGTGGCATTACCCTAATACCGAAACTAAACAAAGAGTACCAAAAAGATGCAAAAAAATGTAATTAAGTGTTAACAAACAACACTCAGCAATACAGACTGTTGTTATGATGACATGGGAATTTCTGTAATGATGCGAGTCTGGCTCAGTAATGCTCAGCTCATGTGATACCCTGGATTTGACCCTCAGCAACACACACACACACACACACACATACACACACAGCAAAAGGAAGAAAGGTCAATCAGTATAATCCACCATATTAACAGACTAGAAAAAAAAGACCATATTAAGGCGAAGAAAGGACTTACAAAATCAAGTAGTTATTCGTAATAAAACTCAGAAAACCAAAAGGGAAAAATACTGTTGGTTTAATAACAGGCATATATGGCAAACCCATAGCTAGTGTTATGTTTGGGAAGAGCCAAAGATGTCAGTTCTCACCACTCTTGACATGATGCCAAAAGACCAGCCAGTTATATAAGGCCATCGGGAAATAAAATCTGTATATGGGAAGGAAGAAATAAAACTGTCCTTCTTTGCAGATTACTTAGAAAAAAAATTTTTAAAGTACCCCAAAAAGTCTTCTAAGTGAGTTCAGCAAGGTTTCATGCAATCAGATAGGCACGTCATCTGAATTGTATGTCTGTATATTAACAGTGAACGTGTTGGACACCAGCACTTGCAATGTACTCTATGATTGCTCAAAAACTAACACCTATAATCTAATAATAGATTTTGTATGCTGCAAGCTGCAAACTGTTGATGAAAGAAGTTAAAGAAACTAAACTGAAAGACTGTTGATGGATTGGAAGGCTCAGAATAGCCTTAAATGTCAGTGCTCCTGAAAGGTTTAGTGCATTTCTTGTCAGAGTCTCAGCAAGGTGTTCTGTGGATATAAACAAGTGTATTTAAAATGTATAATTGTAAATGCAGAGGAAGTGAAATGGCCAAAATACTTGAGAAAGAAAACTCAGAGTAATCAGCATACTCAGTGTCAGGACTTGTCACTCTGCCACAGGAGTAAAGACCTTGTGGTATTGGTGGAGGAATCCACATGGGTCAGTGGGACAGGACGCAGAATCCAGACGTAGACCCAGCATGTGCCCCGGCGTGAAAACACTCTGGGCAAGAAAGCTAGCATTTTTCATAAATGGTGCTTGAGCAAGCAGACAGCCAGTGGCATATAAATTAACTGCAGCCTAAATCTCATACCCTACATGAGAAATTAACTCAAGCACTAGACTTTAAAACAATAGAACATTTAGAAAAAAGAAAATATTTGAAATCTAGAGCTAGACGAACATTCTTAGGCTTAGCATTAAAAGCATGATCCCCCCAAAAAATTGATAAATCCAGCCCATTGAAATGAAAAAATTTTGATTTATAGAAGATTCTAATAAAAGGATGAAAATAGGAACTACAAATTGGGAGAAAATATTTGTATACCCTATATCTGTGAAAGGACTGGTATCTGGAATACATAAAGACAATAGTAAAAATAAGCCATTAAGTTAAAATATGAGTTAAAAAGAAACATTTTGTTGGAGAAAATATATAGGGGTCAAGTATGCACATGAGATATGTTCCGTATCTTTAGAGGATGCCAAGTGGGGTGTGAGGTGTCATTTTGCACCTTCCAGCGTGGCTGAAGTAAAAAGTAATGACAGCAGTAAACGATGGCAGCTGTGAGGAGGAACTGGGTCACTCATGCATTACTGGTGGGAGTGCAGAATTGTATGACTGTATAAAAAACAAGTCCTAAAAAATTGAACATACAACTTCTATCCAACCCAGCAGTTGCACACGTGATCATTTGCCCCAGAGCAGTATGAGCACTTACATGTACCTGTGCATGAATGTTTATTGTAAATTCATTTTGAATAGTGAAAAACCCGAAATGCCTTTCAGTGGTTAGCCGACACATCCGTGCTATAGAATACTACTCAGTCATGAAAAGAACGAATCATCACTGACAAGCACAGTAGTCCTGATGGGAAATATGCTGAGGGTTACGTATGGTGGTTCTACTTCTGTGATGTTCTTGAAGTAACAAAAGTATAGAAAGGGAAATAAATTTGTGGTGAAGGCTGTGGAGGCGCACTCTGTATTATTTCCTATAACAGCATGCAAATCTACATTTACTTCAAAACAAAAAGCTGTTTTTTAAGATCCTGTGCTGTACAATCATCCCTCCCAGTAATGACTGGTGTCACTCGTATAGGACTGTGTAGAACAGTTCAGGTCGTGGGTTCCAGTGTAAGACTGTCCGGGCTGATTTCCATTTCTGCTGTCTGTCAGCAAAGTGTCCTTTGGCCTATGTCCTCACCTCTCTGTCCTCGGTTTTCTCATGTCAGGTGGGAATAATAATTTTAATACTGGCAGTGCCTCCCTCAAGGTCTGTTTCAGAATCAAGCTGTAATGTGTATGTAAAACGCTTAGGTGCTGGTAGTTGTGAGTGGTCCAAAAAGTGGCAGTAGTGGCATTGACTGTATTATCTTTTAATTCTCTTTTTTTCCATTAATATAACTGAGCTAAGAGGTCTGTTTTTGTGTATTTTGTTTGTCACTTATGCCATAAGTTTTTCCTTTAATAATTCAAAACATTCAAGGCCCTGGTGATCCGCCTGCCTCAGCCTCTTGAGTGCTGGAATTACAAGCCTGTGTCACCACAGCTGGCCCAAACTTTTAATTTTTTTTTTTTAATTTCTTGCTTTCACTTGTGGTTTGTAGCTGTATCTATTAGACTTGGGGCATGTTGCCTGGCCCAGTTAGCTGCAGTATGGAGTTGGTGTTCAGGCAAACTGTATCTTGTCTTGACCTGCTGTAAAGCTCAAAGGCTGATTGCTTCCCGCCAAACTGGAACATTTCTGACACGAGTAGAGGCCGGTGCTGTGCCCTTGGGAGGTTTCTCTGTGCTTCTGTGTGTCGAAGGCCCCAGTCACTGTCTGTTGAAACATTCTGTCTGGGGTGGGCCGCTTTCCAGAAGGTGGATGGTGGCATTTTAGCTTCTCCTAGCTTTTCCTCAGCTCAGATTCTATTCATGATAAGTAATTGCGGTTGCTGTCAGTGTGTCTGAAGTATAATTTTGGATGCTGTGATGAATGATGTGTATTAGTAGTTCAGAGCCACTCATGTGTCATGAGGATGCTCTTGTAATAGGATGAGTGAAATAGCAGCCTTCCCTATGAATACCAGCACCCAAAATTTAAATCAGAGACAAATTTAAAGCAAATTAAAATTTGCTCTTTGGCAAATGTGAAGACTAACATGATAAGTCTAGGCAACATAGACAGTACAGGCAAAGCATGTCATTTATAAGTCACTTTTCAAAAGTAAAGCTGGTGTTGCATTGTAAGCTTTCAGTGATTCACCAATTCTGTCTTCAGTACAGAAAAATGCCTCCCCAAGACTCTCCAAGAGAGTTCCCAATCAGGCTCTCTTCTGGTATGGGTTTGCTCTTGGTTCAGGTGTGTCTAAAATTCTTCTGAAATTAACTTTTTGCTTTTTAAACAATGTCTTGTTTTTGTTTCTGAATTGCAGCCACAACACAAAAACAACATCTTGGTTAGACCCTCGGTGCCTGAACAAACAGCAGAAGCCTCTGGAAGAGTGTGAAGATGATGGTAAGAACTGGGAAGATCTTAGGTGAAGTGAGTTGGGGCTTGTTCACCTGTACAGATTCTAAGGTGAACTGGCTTTTAGCAGTGAGCTTCTAAAAGGTTATCTAGTTCTAGGCGATGCGCATGGTTTTCAGAAGAGCAGTTCATTTTCAAGTAAAGGTAGGTGCAAACTAGTATATCCTTTGGAGATAGAATCTGAGCTCAGCCAGAAACTATTTAGATTTGTCCTCTGCATTCAGTCCTGTGGAACAGTCTAGAGTTTCTAGGAATCAAGGGTCCCCTGCTATCCTGATCACGCATACCTGCTGGACCACAGCCCTAGGTTGTGAAAGTCTTGGGAAGACTTTAGGAGCTTTCTTATCTTTTGTATCTTTTGTTACTTTCTTATTTCCCCAGTTTCGGATAGGGGAAGCAGATCTTGACATATTTGGCGATCTCTGTAGCTTGGGATATACCCATAATATCTGAAGAGCACATTGTTCTAGAAAGAGGTTGAGGTGTACCTAGGGCTCACCTCTCTTTTTATTTTGAAAACAAAGTAACTAGCTGTAAGAGTTTTTGTTGAAGAAGTTTATTTCAAAGCTTTGGGAGTTTTTAAGTACTTGCCCAAAATAAAATTTTAAAAAATGAAGACAGTAAGTCTGTTGCTTTTCAGTAGCACAAAGAAGTCTATCCCATGTTCAAACAAGAGTACTTTTTGTTGTGGACTTATTCAAAGGGAAGTGGCTTACTTTGCTGCTCGTTATTTAATTCTGGCATTTGAATTAATATATAATTACTGAATACATGTTTTTTTCTGTAAGATAGCAAAACTTTACTAATTCATCCTATAATAAAGAATTGTGTCTACACATTTGAAGTTTGTCTGAAAATGGAAGCCAGTGTTTTACAATACATTACTGTTGAAACTTTGTATTCCATGGTTATACCTGGTTAATACCAGGTTATACACGGTTAATCTCCCATTATATTTGGTTGGACATAACATGAGATGAGCACAGAATTATATGTTCATATTTATCTGAGGGGCTTCGTGTGGAAATACATGTCCCTCTGACTGGGAGGAGGGACCAAGGTGCTTGTCTCGTTTCAGCGGCTTCATCCCCCTGCTGGAGGAGCAATGGAGCAGGTGTGCGCAGCTGTTACATGTGTTCTGATCGTTCAGTCCATTAATACAAAATGCATACACAGTGACCAATTTTCAAAGATCAGAAAGTAAGACATACTCAGCTGTAAGACTTTATAGAACAAAATTTAATCTTTATTTGATGACTGATGATTTTAAAAGCAATTTAGTCACTCATCTTAGAGTCTTTTATGTAAGATCCAGGATAATTACGCTGGCAGTGTATGAAAATGCCTGCTAAGGTAAATTTGTAGATGAGAGAAGATTGCAAGAGCTTTTGCTGAGAAAAACTGTTAGTGTAATAAAGGTATTGAGGAGAGTTACCAACCGTTTTTGTTGCCAAATCTTATGATTTTGAATACTTAGAACCCGTATCATTTGTGTTAATGTTATTTCTGTTTGGGCAAGTATTTATTCATACCAAATGTAGTCGTTTTAGTAATTATCCCTTGAACATTAGAATTCATATATTCTGTTTCTAGTAGAAATTGTACGTATGTCTGTGTGTCTGTATACACACACAGCACAGACATATAATCAGATTATGACACACATCAGTGTGCATCTTTCAGTGCCATTTAGCACTAAGCTGCTGTGTATCATTGCTTGTATTATGACACAAATTGAGAGTACCTTGTCAGTCACAAATACTGAATTTCTAACTCTGTAGTTCAGATGCAGATGGGATGTAATAGTACAAAATCATACTCGATTATTATTTTTTATATAATTGGCCATTTTAATACATGAGCATGATTGTCTCATGACCTTGTAGGAAGGAAAGAAGACAAGGATCATATTAAATAATTAGTGTTTTAGGGGGATTTGTGTACATGATGAATCGTTAAACCAAACTTTAAATTTTGATCTTGATGGATGGTGAATGGTGAAGACATATACCATTCCATTTTTTTTCACACTCAATTATTATAAAGACTTTCTGTTTCCTGTTTCACAAAATGGGAAATTGGCTTTGGATTTGGTTTTCAGGGTACTCACTGCTCCTTGATTGTTGCTGTGGGTCTGGTTCGGCTAGAAGCCTCCAACACTGCCTTTGAGCCGTAGCCAGTGTTTTAATCCGCCAGACTGAGACCCAGCTGGGGATCTCAGAGGCTTCAAACTATGTCTGACTGAAACCAAACTAAAGATCTTCCCCAAAACACCTGTCCTGTGTTTCCTATCTCAGGTGAAGGTGAACTGTACACACGTGAGTTCCCTTGCTCTGTGACAGCACACCCACCTAACCCATGAGCCTCTGGCTTCACTTGGTCTTGATTATTTCTAGACTCCATTCCCTATTCGCTTCACCACCTCTACCCTTTCTGGTGTGGGTCACACGCGGAGTCTTGCTTCTGTCTTTCTTGTTCTGTGCTCAGTGCAGTTTTTTAAAATGTGCTCCTTTTCTCACTGCCCACTCTGAACTCCAGTTAATGGCTCTGCAGTCTGCTCGGCGTGAGCCTTGGCCCTGCTTAACATCGCCAAGCCCCATGAGGTTAGAGTGAGGAAGCTCGTGTGTGAAATAGTTCCTGGTACTGGGCTTGTTTTCATCTCAGGAATGATAAAGTGTTTTACTGTCAGCAAGAGGAAGTCAAGAATGGAACAAATTGAACTTTTTTTGCTAAAATTGCCAAGAACATTTAACTTTTATTTCTGAATTGCTTGACTTAGAAAGTACATACAGAAAATACAAAATCAGGAAACTGCTTCTGAGTCCTCCTCCAGTCAGTCTGTAAGCCGCACCTCTCCAGTGCACATCATGGCACGACTCATCTGCCTCTCTCCTTTGGGAGAGACTTGGAGCGCACTATACAGGTTGCTCCCTGAGCTTGCCCTCCCCTCCATGCTTCCAGCTGCTTGTAAGTTAAATTATGCTTTAATTGTGGTGTAATTGCCTCACTGATTAGGGGATTATTGAAGGATTAAAAGGACTAATAATGAAAGGTCTAACAGCCTTATTTGCTGCAAATAAGCTCTATAGTAAGTGACTTTCCACTTAAGAACATCCAAACCACAAAGGTATTTGTCATCCTTTACAACTAATCAGATCCTGTTTTGACATGCAAGTAAATGAGCCATAGAATTATTTTGCCAATTTCAGCTCTGAGCACTTTATGCTTTACCTTGAGGTCCAGAGTTTATTAGCCAAGCCAGTGAAATAAGCCGCATGCAGGTAAGGACAAAATGAAGTGATGTGTTTGCTACTGGTTTTCTGAGGGGAGATTCCTTCTTGGTGCTGGTGTCTGACTTTTTCTTTCTCTCTTTCCTGTCTCATTCCTGCTGTTCCTTTGGAGAAGAAGGGGTCCACACCGAGGAGCTGGACAGTGAACTAGGTAAACCCTTGGCAGCCGCTGTGCATGAGTAGCTGCATGGTGTGTCTCCTGTGACTTGCTTAATCCCTCATTTTCTTGAGTGTGCACCTCTTCAGTTATGATCCTCATTCCGGTTTATCCATGCGAAGGCAGTCGTATAGCCTGTGGGTCTGACTGCGTACAGCACACAGAGCTGTAATACGTTTCATCTGCAAAGAAGGTGTAGATGAATTGAGACTAGAATGAAGTTAGCAAAGTAGCAATGGGTAGTCTCGTAAAATGAGGATTGGAGAAGAACTGACATGGTGCTGGCCATGTCTCTTGAACTTCCATGTAACTTGGCTCAGTGTCATTTTTTTTATTTCCTTAGTGTGAATAGTTATCTATGTAATACCCTCCCAGAAAAGTGAAATAAACAAAAGTCCACAAGACTAATATAATCTTTATTGCAGGAGTAGTTCCCCTGAAATTAATTCCCAGTGATTAATTGCATAGTTAATAAGCCCTATGATTACAGTGTTTTTAAGGCACAAATCTCATATAGTTGACCTTGTCCCCAGAGTGCATGTCTTGGGACTCTAAGCAGTGTTTATTGATGGCATTTTCCCTAAAGTGTACATATTAGTGTAACTCAAGCCTCAACTATTCTAGCTATTGTAGTTTGTGGGTAATTTACATTTGCAGATAGTGCCAAAGTATTTTTTCTTTGCTGTTAGAATATACTGAATTATATTCTCACTAAGTTGAGTGTTTTACATTCAGATTTGAACAACACTAAAATTAGTTTGTGTTGTATCTGATGCAGTCACTGGAGAGTAAGTGGGAAAACCAAGGTCGAGCTGCATTTCAGATTAAAGCCTTGAACTGAAAATTGACCATTAGTTACACTTTCTAAATAAAAGATTGCTCTTAACATTAATATGAATGGACATTACTGAATTGGCCTGGTATTTTTAAGATTGTTTTAAGGACTAAAAATATAAGTGTTATTAATATAAATTATCATTTCTGTTTGGTTGCATGTTCTTTGTTACATGAAGAAAATATTGATCACCTGGAGTTGTGGTACAGAACTTGGTTCTGATTTTCTTAATGTTTGTTAAGAAGATAATAATCGGTGACCATGCCCACAGCGATTTGTGACTGTGGAGAGATCGATGGTTAAAGATGTTTAATAAGCTGTCCTGTGATCCACGCAGTATGAATGGCTCGAGGGTCACCTGTGGAATACAACAATTTAGAACTAATTTTATAAAAAAAATAAAAAATAATTGAAGGAGACCAAGTCAGGCTTTCCATGCACAAAGCAACTGTCTTCATCGCCTGTTGAGCCCATTTCAGCCACTCTTGCTACCTAAGGCACTGGTGTGAGGGACCGCTCTGTGTGGCGGCTGGCCTGCTGAACGCAGTTAGGTGTCCGGGAGCACCGCTTGGTTTCTGTGGCACTCTGAATGCGAAAATGTCAAGAAAGAATTTTCTGTTTTCCTCCAGTGTAACCATGATATGACAGGAAGTTCCGGGTGGTCCTGACTCTAAGAAATGAACTCCAGGGGTGCATTTACATTCCTCTTCATGTCATACCTACAACTGAGGAAAACAGTGCGGTCTGATTGTGGAGCTTGTCAGGGTCAGATCAGATTGCCTGGCTTCCCAGGTACTGGCTCTGTAAACTTAGGCCTTCTTCTTGCTTTCCTCTTTTAAAAAATGTAAGTTGGAACTGAAAGAGGTTCTCTTTTGAGGCCTGTCAGGAAACTTAACGGAATGTGTTTTAATATTTGACTCAGTGATCAGCACATTTTGGGTTTTTGTTTTTGTTTTTGTTTTTTTCCCGGTACCAGGCATTGAACTCACGACTTTGCACTTGCCAGGCAGGTGCTGTGCTGCTGAGCTAAATCCCCAGCCCCTATCAGCACATTTTGGTTATGACTTTATTATTAGCTCATTCTAGCTGTTGGACTTACCCATACTTCCTTATAATGCTCTGTCCCTTTAATATGAGATAGGTAGGAAACCCATCGTGGACCTAGAGTAACTGCAGTTGGGCAAGCACTTGCTCTGACCCGTGTGCTGTATTAAGGAGTCTGTGCATCTCCTCGTTTAACCCACAGTTGATCTTCGAGGTGAGCCTTGAGAAAGACATGGCTCAGAGATGTGGGGGAAGCAGCCCAGGCCACAGAGCAGCAGAGCTAGGTAGTTAGAGCAGAGGCCCTTTCCTGGGCAGTGCCCGCAGGCTCTCAACCGCTCCGGCCTCTGAGAGAAGCTGTGTGGTCCTGTCTTCTCTCTGGTGGTGGTCAGACACGGGCAGTGCCTGTTCAGGGGTCTTCAGAGTGTTTAATTTTTAAAAACTATAATGTAACCACTTTATGGGCTTAAATACTTTCTTCCATTTTCAGTTTTTTATAACCAAATGATAAATTCTAGGACAAACAGCTTCCTTTTTTAAGTCAATGACCCATTTCTATTTTCAGCTTTAGGAGACTAATTCCTGTTATTAAGTTAATCACTACATTGGAAGTGAGAAATCTATCTTTTCCATTCAAAATGAGATTTAACTTGAAAAACTGGAAAACTTCTGAAGATGGTTCATCTATTTCATAAGTGTTTAAAATGTCCAAAAATGCCAGTTGACTGGCCCCGTTTCTGAACCCTCAAACATGAAGGCACTGAGACACAACAGGCAGAAGCAGGAGTGGTTTCATTTCAAAGCTTTGCTGTGCGGCTGTTTTCTGCTTGGTCACTACACCGGTACTTACCTTGTGTCCCTGGTGTCCGACACATCCTTAGCCAAACAGTGGGTGCCCCGTAACTGTCTGTCACATTGTAACTGAGTGAAGTGAGTGCGTGGTATTTCCCTGTTTCATCTAGAGATCATCTGGTCAGACGTTTCACGTTGCAGACTTTGGAAAGAGGTCTGGTGCTGCTCACTGCGATGTGGTTTCTCACTTTCCCCCTCTCTTCTCCACATACAAATGTGTGACTGGGCACCAATTTGCATTTTTTAAATTTTCAATTTCCCAATTCTTTGGAAATATTTTTCTGGTTCATTTTCATTTAAATGGTAATTTCTAGCATTGTAAGGGGAAGCCATTTCCCAGGCATTTGATTTGCATTGGTCTACGGTGTATAAAAATGCCAACTTGTAACAACATCTGCAATTTGGACTTGTCTTGCATTTTAGTAGCTCATGTATCCTGAATTCAAAGACTTCTTTAAAACCTGTTAGGTGTTTTGTTTTTTTTAATTAGAAAAAAGTGGAGAAAATCTGTCTCTTTGTTTACAGACAAGTAATGTGTAGAGCAAAATCCATGAAATTAATATCTCTTGATGTTCATGCAAATCTGAACAAAACGTAAACTGTGAGTAATTAACGTGTGTGTGTGTTTCTGTGCACACGTGTGCCTCTGTCTCAGCCTGGGACTCTGCTCATGAAATAGTCATCATTGAAAACGCTGACCACATGATTCCTTGAATTAAAGAAAAAATTTGCTTCAACATATTGATATTGCAAGTTTGTCGACTGCCAGCTCTTCATAGTTACTTCTAGAAATAATGTTTCACTTTGGAGTATAGTATTGTATGAACTTTCCTTAAATGCATAGATCAGGGTGGCTTTAAAAAGGTCAGAAATTATTGCTCTGTAAGGATTGTTTTAATGGCACAAAACACACCTACTTGCTTCTTTCATGAAGTAAAACTGTCTAGGACAGTGGACCTCTCCCAGCAGATTGTTGTTATAGAAGTCACTCTGACCTAATTAATAAAGTTCATTTCAGCCTTTGATGTGAAACCTTACAAAGTAAAGTCCAGCAGAGCATGGCTCAGTTTTCACTGTAGCACCACATGTAAAAGGATATCACGTCCCCCAAGGACAGTGAGTTGTCAGCAGGGAGGACGTGGGTCAGTCTTCACAGGTGAATTGAGGAGGAAGACCAACAGGCCCAAATATAGTAACCAAGTGATAAAAACCCAGCTCAGTGTGGGCATGTTACTTACACAGTAGCATTTTATTTGGGAACAGGGAGAAAAGATTCAGATTTTATTTTCTTGCAAGGAAAGCAAAACACAGTTATATTGAAAAATGAAAAGAAACATTAATCTCCATCCATTTTTCTTTGTGTGAGAAGGTAGCTTAGAAAAAAATAGAAAACAGTAAATATTTAAGGTGGGAACTAGACAGTCAAGGTAAGTTTTAACTGTTTCTATTAAAATCTGATTTGATAATTAAGAATAAAGGCAGCTAGGACTACATTTATTAAGTTTTATTTTCTTACGTAAAATACCACTAGCTAAAGAATGACTTTGCGTGTAGAAAAAAATACACTGAAAAAATAAAAATGATGTATACTCCTTTTAGTTGGGTGAAATTAAGGTATTTTTATGAGTCGTTCTCTTTTTGCCTAACTCAGTTGACGGTAGTCCCAGGCTCCCTAAGAATCTGCTCTACTTGCTCTAAATGTTGTTTTGTTTTTCAGAACTGCCTGCTGGTTGGGAAAAGATTGAAGACCCCGTCTACGGTGTCTACTATGTAGAGTAAGTGCCTGTTAATAACCCACATGTGTTTCTGCACCTCTGGAATTATGTATTTTATTTTATGTTAGGTAATTCTACAGGATGCGTAGACTTTTCAGATGATTATTACTAGGGACATGCATTTCTTTATTTTTTAAAAGTAGAATCTATTTATTGGGGAAAGAAAGCTGTCTGAGAGAGTGACAGGCGGGGTCATGAGTGGATTACCCTGGAATTCTGTATATTCATGGTGAGCAGAACTTCTCGTTACTGTAAGACACAAGCCAAATAGTAATTAATTTTAAAATGAAAATATCTGTGTATAGTCTAATGAACAAGAAAATAGTCAGTGATACCTGGATAGGTAAACTCTGTCATTAATTCCCTTCCTGAGGACCTGCCTCACGGTTCTTACGTGCCTTGCATTCTGAAGTCTAAACACAGTCCTTGCAGATGAAGGTACATAATAAGCATTACCTGAACAAATGGATGAGAAAGCCCAGGACACAGTAGGACAGATGCTGGGGATTGTTTATCTTCAGGAGGAAGACCTGCTTTAAAAAGTCATTTGGATGAAAACAAATGCCATGCAAATGTATGGTCATAGTTCTGCCGCTGTGAAGACAGCTGGCCTGCTTTCTCTCATGCTGTTGTGTATGACCACATGATGCAAAACTGCCAGGCTATCAAATGTTCACTGTCTAATTTTTTAAAATTATGAGTTCAAAATAGCAAATGTCCTTTGCCATTACTGACATTGGCTCCTTTCACTTAACAATAATTGGCAGTTTGGGAAGCAAGTGGGGTTGTTCCTCTGACCCTTCTAAGATAAATTTCCTTTGTGAGCCCCCGAAATCATCTTTCTTACACATGTACAGCAAGGTTTGTTTTGCTGGAGGTTCATCATACATTGCCTCTCATCTAGCATTTAGTAAGGAAAGGACAGGTAATTACTGTTTTGATGGATGACGAAACATTGTTTTCGAAGGTCAAGGTGTATGCTTGTATGATACTTGCATAGCATGTGCTGTATATATATATATATATATACACACACATACATACATACACTACACAAGCAAAGGCCAGGGCCTGCGCATGTGGGCGCGTGCGTGTGTGTATGTGTGTGTGTGTTTGCCATGGTTTTATCAGCTATATAGCCATCTAAAGTAGCAGTATTTGCAATCTCTTGGCTGAGGGCTATCCCTGTCAATTTATCAGATAGTTGACAGATGTTAGAAGGCTCCTTTTTTTCTTTTAACTTTGCTGCTTTGTGAATGCTCTTGCTTCAGCAAAACCTACTGTAGGAAGTTACTCAGCACTTCTGGCATTGTGTGTTAGCAACAACATCACATATCCTCTTTAATCTTATTTTTCAGTAATCCCATAATCTACTTGTTGCATTTAAGCAACCACATTTTCATATGATACCTTTGACATTTGAGTAGTCAGTAGTTAAAATTCTGGGATTTGAAAACAAACTGACCTGAGTTTGCATGCCTATTTACTACTGTTTGCTGCATTCTAGTAAGGTGAGTTATTAACTGCAAAGAAGTTTGTTTTTTTTCCCATGAAATCAGTAGTGCCCCCTTATCTGTGGTTTCACTATGGTTTTAGGTCAAGCATTGACCTTGTTTGAAAGCATTAAATGAAAAATTCCAGAAATAAGTAATTCATACATTTTAAATTGTGTGCCATTCTGAGTAGCAAGATTAAATCTCCAGCTCTCCGATTCAGTCTAGCTTAAAAGAATGATCACCATGTCCAGCATACTTACACTGCGTAAATCACACTTTAGCTTTCTTGGTTATCAGCCAACTGCCATGATATTGCAGTACCTGTGTTCGTGTTACCCTTGTGTTACTTGAGTATGGCCTCAGAGCTCAAGAGTAGTAGCAATGCTGGCTGTTGGGATATGCTAACGAGAAGCCACCGTGTGCTTCCTTTAAGTGAAAGGTAAAAAAATCTCAATAAAGCACATCTCAATCTCAGTGAAGTCATAATCTTCTGAGGTTGCTAAGGTCTATGGTAAATTATTGCTATTAATCCCTTCTATGCCTGTTCATAAATTAAACTTTATCATAGATCCATATATATGGGGGGAAATCTGGTATATACAGAGTTCAGTATTATCTGTGGTTTTAGGCATCCATAGAGTCTGGGAATGTATTCTTCATGAATAAGTGTTTATTACTGTTTGAATAAGATTAAGACTTGAGTAAGAATAAAACTTCAGAATAAGAATAAGCCTATTGAGGATTTTTCCCAAAATGTGTGTATGAATGATTGCACAACGCTTGGTGTATATGAGCAGGCAGTAACTTCCTCGTTTCCTCTCTTAAGTGTGCTTTTTGATGCAAACAAGTCCATGTCAGTCCACCTGTCTTGCTCTGTTTTAACCAAAGGGTTTGGCCTGGGAGGCCTTTTGCTGCTGGGATGTCTGTTTCTGTGTTGAAAACTGATTACCTTCTTCTCCAGCCACATCAACAGGAAGACACAGTACGAGAACCCAGTTCTTGAAGCCAAACGAAAGAAGCAGCTTGAGCAACAGCAGCAGCAGCAGCAGCCACCACCACCAGAAGGTTGGTCTCTTACCCTGGAGATGTCTGAGCTGGGAACACTAGCCAAAGGCAGGACACTGCCACCCCCGTGTGGTCAGAGCTGGCCTTGAAGAGCCAGGCATCCACCACACAGAGGAGTTGCTATCCTGGAAAGAAACAGACTTCCTGCTGGAGCCTTCCCCACACTCCACGCCCTGCTCTCTGCTTCCTTCCCAGCAGCCCCCCCGGGGCGGGGTTTCCCAAGTTGGAGGTGTACATCATCCCGCTCTCTTTTTTAACGTGGAAAGGAGCATCTTTGGATTGTGATCTTTCTCAGGGTGAAGGAACTCTCTTGCCTTGGCAGCATTTGCATTGCAATGTCTGAATCCAAACTCCTTTTTTGCATTTTTACTTCAGGCAGAATTACTGGGCATGAAGCTAATGTTTAAAGCTTTAGGAGCATTACATGTAATGATCAGAAAGAGCTGGTACTTTACACATAATAATCAGGAAGAGGGGCTGGGGATTTAGCTCAGTGGCACAGCGCCTGCCTGGCAAGCACGAGGTCGTGAGTTCGATTCCTGGTACCAGAAAAAAAAACAAAAAATAGAAAAAATTTTTAAAAATAATGATCAGGAAGAGCTGATACTTTACATGTAATGATCAGAAAGAGCTGGTACTTTACATGTAATAATCAGGAAGAGCTGGTACTTTCAAGTGCTTTTTTAAAAGTTACTTAATTCAGCTTCTTTGTAAAAATAACAGTTCAAGAGTGTAGAACATTGAATTCTCTAATGCTTACCCCCTATATATACAGAAAATTTCAATGGATATACAAATTGCATATGTTAACAGAAAAAATAGGAATGTATATATACACACATTATTTACAGTGTGTGCCATATATAGTGTGTGTGCACATGTGTGATTAACCTGTTCTCACTTTTTTCTCATACCAGTTTCAAAGTTAGTTAATATAGATTTACCGTATAATTTTTAATAGCTGCATAACATATCATTTAGTGAATATTTCCACCATTATTCAGCCATCCATTTATTAATAGATGCTAAGGTTTTTCTAAAATTTATTGTGATTTTTTAAATAAAAGATGTAATATTCCCCTCAACATAACACCTGAATATTAGTATATGAAAATATATGCATATGGAATAGCTATGTACTTTTTTGGTTTTGGTGCTAGGGCTGAAGCCCAGGCGTCATGCAGGCTGAGTACATGCACTGCCACTGAACACACCTAGCCCTTGATTATTGTAAATATGGACCTTAGACTGTCAGTTGGTGAATGTTTTATGCTTTGTGATAACATACAGTCACTCTCACACCTCCTCAGCTCTTCCACTGGAGTTTGGAAACATCTGTAAGCAATAAAACTTTAGGGACACTCTAAATTGTTCTTGATATTATTTTCCCATGTGAGAAATACTCAATTTTTTCAGCCATTTAAAAATGTAAGAGCTGTTGCTGGCTTGCAGGCTGTGCAGAAATAGACACTGGACCAGTTTGACTGCTAGGCTATGGTTTGCCAGCCGCTACACAAGTGTGTGTCTGTGGGCCAGTAGAAAAGTTTTCTTTACTCTTTTTTTATTTAAAAAGAACTTTTTTGATACTGAGAATCGAACTCGGGACCTCATGCTTGCCAGGCAGTGAAAAGAACTTTGGAAACACGTTTTTCCTGAGGTGGTGGACCTTGATGTTGGAAAGTGTGGTGCGGGTAGTGGAGTGTGTGCAACGGAGTGTGTCAGCTGGGTGGAAGGTCACGGTGGCCCATCTCAAGGTTCATTCCCTGCGGGTTATCCCTGCATCTCTGTAGCGTGCGGGGTATAGATAGGACGTAGAGGTCCTGCTGATGGTTTCCCCTTGGGCTTCAGAGACCTCAGAGTTAGCAACTTGGCAAGCTGCTGACCTCCCCCTTCCTCCAGTTTACCATCCATGACAAGCAGGTTCTGCAGATTAGCCCTGCCCTACTTGCCTTTGGGAAGGTTCTCTCTTAGAAGGCTGCCTCTCGGTGACTGTGTCTTCCTGATACTTTTTTATGTGATCTCACTTTGGGTTCTCCAACCAGAGAGCACTAGAGTTTTATTGATCATGTTGCAACATCTCTTTCCCCAAACATCTTAGGCAAGAGAAAGAGATATTGATACCCTTTGCATGAAGTAAGGTCAGACACCAGCTTCTTTCCATTTACGCTGTCTGCCTAGTTACTGGTTTGGGGCAAGTAAGAAGCAGGTGGAGCATGTGGAAGTAGACCAGCTGTCTGAAGGAAAAGTGAGAAACTGTCTCCTTTCTTGCAGAGTGGACAGAAGAGCATTCATCCCTTGTGCCTCCTGTTATCCCGACCCACCCCCCGAGCAACCCGGAGCCAGCCAGAGAAGCTCCACTTCAGGGTAAGGCGTTCTTACTGTCACATCATGACATCAGCTTGAAAACCTTTCAGAGGTGCTTTAACCACTTCCCAGTGGACTCATCACATTCTCTTCCTGTACTGACCATCCCGAGCTTTGCTTGGGCAGGTGTCATTTCAGCCAACCAATTCTGGTAAAGTAGATAAATGTATCATTTTTATAGTCCCTGTAATATTATCTTATAAAAACTAATGAAAAATATTCAATTTTTGGTCATTCTGTTTTTAAATAATTGGCCTGGCAAGTGGTTAAAAGTTAACCTTTGTCACTGCTATCTTTCCTTTGCTAGTATTGTTAATCACACATCGAAACAATTAGGATCTTTTCTGAGTAGAATTTTCAATTATTGGGATAATTTAAAAATAATGATACTTGTTAACCAACTATTGAAACCAGAGTTTCTCAGCACTGTTGACATTTTGGCTGGGTGGTTCTTCCTGGGGTCTGCCCTGTGCACTGTTGCAGCCTAAGCAGCGACCCTGTCCGCCAGCTCTCAGAAGCGCACTCTTCACCTCCCACCTCCCACCTGTGACAGACCAGAGTGGCCCCAGACACAGCCAGATGCCTCTGGGAGCAAGACATTCCCAGAGCTGCCAGTGACTGAGTTAGAGGCCGCGAATGTGTAATATTTGTTAAAGAAGATAAATTCAAATGTTGCCATTAAATATTTCAGAATTCTAGTCAGCATATTTTTCTAATTTTTTTTACAAACATAAATGTTTCTGACTAATTTTTTTTACAAACATAAATGTTTCGATATTGTTATGTTTTAAATTCTCCTCTCCTATTCTTGCCACTTTTATTGGTGTTTTTGCATGTTTTACAATGTTTTAAGTGGTGTCACATTCACAAGTAGCTGTGCATTCACAAGTAGTTTGAGTCACCTAGAGAGGATCTTCCTAAAATATTAGGAGCTCCTGGTTTCTCACCGTCAGGCCGCATGACTCTTCAGTGACCAGAAAGGTTTCAGGATTTTTTTTTCCTTTTAAATAAGAAAAATAGAATAAGAGTCATGTTTGGCAGAGCTAGAAAGTATTTGAGGTACTGAACCATGAACAATAGTCTAAAATCTGTCTTCCTTTCTGCTCTGTAAACAATATATAACTATTAGGTATAAAAAGATATGTGGAAGAATAATTCTTTTCTCAAATTTTGATTCCTCCATTATAATTTTCATGATAACAAAAGTGTCCCTCTGCTGGCTGATATTGTCATTAGGTTAGTATTGATACCAATTTATGTAAAATGATTTCTTCTGGCGTAAGCATGCTTTTTAATGGTGATAATGTCTGTAAAGATAGAATATAGTGTATAATTGCATGTTAATTAACATCCGCATGACTGCAGCCGCCTCAGTATTTTTTGGGTACAAAATGCCTTCTTTGGCTCCCGTCATCCTGCCGCTCCTCTCTGTCAGTCAGTGAGATCCCAGCCTCTTTCCGGCTCCTAAACCAGCTGAGCGAAGCATCTCTCCGAGCGTGCGCGCAGGCTGTGTCCTGTGTCCCAGGCTTTACCACCTGCCCCCTGCTCATGCCAAGTCACTGATAGATTCTCCCATGTGTTCACTCCTAGCCATTTGTAGAAATTAACAGTTATAATTAGCGTTCACTGGTGTTCTGTCAGGGTAAATCCCATGTAGGTGTAATGCTATGGATTATTTCTTCTTTTCCTTTTTCTACTTTTTCTCATTCACTAGAACAACCAAACCCACGTGTAATCCTGGATATGTTCTTTCTGCTGACGTTACTATGAGTGAAACTCTGTGTGTGTGTGTGTGTGTGTGTGTGTGTGTGTATACACACATACAGCCACACATGGTAGCTAGTCAGTCTCCTTTTAAAAATTGTCTTAAAGATTAAATAAAGATGAAAAGTTAGGGTACCAAGTAGTTAGAGCACCAAGAATCCAGATGGCATTTGTCTGTGAACTCCATCTCTAGCCTCATTGTTTATAACACTGGGTTACTGGCTGGATCAGTTACTTGGAATCTTTTGTGTCTCAGATAGGACCCTGTATGGATGCCACTGGTTACTACATGTTGCCATTTGAATCTAAATTAATTACAGTTTTGAAAAATCAGTTCCTCTGTCCTGGCCACATTTCAAGGACACGGGTAGCTAGGTAGACTGGTGGCTGCCATATTGGACAGTGCAGACAAGAGCATTTCCAGCTCCGCTGGACGTGCTGTTCTAGCACTGGTCTAGAGCATCTCAACACCAGATTCAAGAATAGCTTGGTGTGACAGGGAAACAGTTCCTGAGGGTTGTCAGAACACAGAAGTAAGACCCTGATAAAGTGAGTCTAGGCTAGGGGCTAAAATGAGTACATTTTAAAAAGCTATCCCAGTAATTTTCATGTATAACCAGGTCTAATAACTGCTCACTAGTCCAGAGAGTTTTGGTCCCAGAAATCACACATGCCACAGAGCTGTGGCAGAAATCTTCAAATTCCACTGCTTGTGGGTAAGAAAAACTTTCTTCCCAGAGCTGAATTAACTGATTGCCCATCCATACATAAAATGTAATAGAATTGCATAAATGTGAAACCTTCTGACCTTCCTTCTCCAGCTGAGTGGGAAAAGTAAGGCAGTGGTGTGATTTCAGAACTCTTTTCATGCCTCTTATCAAGTTGGAAACATTCTAAGCACAACATATGCTGATGGCTTTAAAAGAATCCAGATAAGATGCCCCGTACCTTCTCGTATTTTCTAACTTTGCCTGTAGTGTGAGAAGTTTCAACACCCAAACACTTCTTTTCAGGCCTCTCAAAGACCTGTTGAATCATTTTTAATGCTTTTGTTTGTTCATTTACTAAAAAAAAGTTAGAGTGCATAAAATGTAGTGGACACTGAATGTACAAATGTACAAACAAAAATACTCAAGAAGCTTCCACCCTAGAGTTCTGCCTCTGTACACATGCAGTGCACTCCTCCCAAGCACAGAGGACCGTAGGACAGAAAGCCATACGAATGGTAAGGACAGTAAGCAGGAAAGGGGGACGGGAAGTGTGACCAGGGGAGGTCTTACTGAGCCAATGACAGATACTAGTGTCTCTGCCTGGCTGAAGTGTATTTCCCCTGAACTCCCTGAACTCTGCATACTCTCTGCTATGAAAGTCTAGGCTTTGACCTCCTTCCCTGAGGTGAACTTCAGGGTGACCTCTCCTGTCCTCACTTCCATCTGAGAATTGGGATAACCTCCATATCCCTAGGCCCCTTACTACAGGCGATCCCACTCTTTGAGAGATGACTGCAGGTCTTGTCTTTCTTTAGCCAGTGACAGTGCCGTCACTTGCCAAACCTGCAGCAAGCCCTGGGAATGCGCTGTACAGATTCACGAGCAGACCTCTGACTACATGCACTTTAAAAGAACCTCCTTCTTGAAAGCCTGAAACTTTTAAAATACGCAGTTAAAAATTGTATGCATGCCCAGAGACTTTTTAAGGCCTTTTAGTTGTAGCTAACCAAAAGTAACTTCCTGAGTGCTAGTCTTGCAGTGCAGGGTGTACGGGGACTTCTCTTTCTCAGTTTTTTTGGGGCGAAAAATAGCATTTTTGATCACAGAGACAGGGAAGATGAAGACTCTGGCAAGAGTGGGGCAGAAGAAATAAAAGTCTGCTTGATCAATTTTGTCACTACTTGGGACAGAGACATTTCTCAATTACAGAGGAATACTTCATAAAGCCCCAAATAAAACCTTTTTATTTGTACCTAAAATATTATTTGTGACTATATCAAAAAACTAAATCTTAGGTTTTGTATTTAGAAGTTATTAGGTATCTCTTACTTTATTTTAAATATGCCAGTTAAGGGGCCGGGGATGTAGTTAAGCAGCGCAGCCCCTGCCTGGCAAGACAAGGACCCGAGTTCGATTCCCAGCACACTGCCACCCCCAAAAAGAATAAATATGCCAGTTGAATTGGAGGCTGTATGGCTCTTGTTTGTAACTATTTAGGTTTAGTTTAGGGGTTTTATTTTGGTTTGTGGGTTTGTTTTGCTTTGTTCTGTCTTTAAATATCTGAAGCCAAGAATCCTAAGCTTTGTTTAAACAATGAACCTTAGCAGTAGTTGACTATTTCAAAAATAATTCTAAAGGTGCAAGTAAGTAGGAAAAGTCATCTGACATTACAGTTCCCTTCAAAATAATGACCTTCAACTTTGAAAATAGTGATTCTGGGTTTTTGTCAAATTATTCTTTGTGTTTCCTGATATTATCTGCATTTCAGTCTGAGCTTTCTGTTTGATTAAAAACAGATGTTTTGCTCACTTGCTCAAGCCCAAAGCAGCGCCCAGAACCCATACTGCACAAGAAAAGAAAAGGGAGAAAAGAACACACAAAGGCCAACTCTACTTTTTTGTGGTACTCAGTTACTGTCAGATTGTGTAAACTGAAGCCGGGGGAGTGTGTCACCCACGAGGCCAGTTCTGTTCTCCCGGAGTCTTCTTCTGGACCTTAATGATGGCACGCTTATGTGCCCAAGCCTTCTCAGCGGAGGCTCTGGGAACGATCCTGTCCTTGAAGTCCAGAGGGAGGACTTTGCCGAGACATCTCCGAGCCCAAAGACCCAGCCCTACAAGCTTGGAGAGTTACCACCATGTTGTCGCCTATCTTCTTTAATTACCTTTTCACTCATGGTTATATTCTTTCTGCTTGTTTTAATCCAGGCAAACCCTTTTTTACACGAAACCCTTCTGAACTGAAAGGCAAGTTCATTCATACAAAGCTGCGGAAAAGCAGTCGTGGCTTTGGCTTCACGGTGGTTGGCGGGGACGAGCCTGATGAATTCCTCCAGATCAAGAGCTTGGTCCTAGATGGTCCTGCCGCACTGGATGGCAAGATGGAAACAGGTAGAGCCCACATGCCTTAGCGTGCTCTGTGTTTCGAGACTGCTACCTACATGTAGACAGATCAAATGACATATGAATTCAGGGGTTTACAAATGCCCTTTAGCCTCCTTGGAAAGAACCGGACTCCTCCATTACAGAAATTCATCCCTTGATACAAATTAAAACCTTTGAAGCCATTTTAACTTTGGAAAATTATTAGAGTGCTATTGAATACAGTAAAGCAGTAATGTACTAAAAATGCAGATCCATTTGAATAAATGCATTCTAAACTTGGATCTCTGCAATGAGAATTTCTTTTTAGAAGAAAGCACTAATGTTCTTTCAGTGATTATTCCTGTTAGCAGGGAGGACACTAGATGCTAAAAGGGTGTTGTATTAGCAGTTAAAATAAGCAGTAGCAGTGGTCTCTTCATACCGATGATATCACCCCCAAGTCCGGTTCAGCCTTGTATTTGTCATGTACAAGGGGCAAAATTTACCTCTTCCCCCTTAGGGCTTTTGGCTAGGCCTAAGAATTACACAGGACACATTAGTAGGAAAAAAGATGTGGAACACTCATGTGGAAATGAAAGCCTAAAAATACAAAGGTGGGACATTTAACAAGTTGGACACAGTAGATTTGGGACAGAGTAGTTAACTATATAGAGAAGAGAACAGGGAGTCAAGGCCTGGCTTTACAAAGTGTCGTGTGCAGATTTCTCTTGCATTTGACTTCCTGTCTCTGACGGTGGGAACTTTTTGGCACAGAAAGGATGACTTACATATGAAATTTCATCTCTTATTTTCAGGAAGGAAAAGAGAAAGGGTCTGAGTGCCTTTCTTATACCTGTTATTTTCTTTAGGTCAAAATAATCCTTATTCCATAGTAGCGTAGTTTGGAGTGGTATGTTCTGAACTTTAGTAAGATGTTACATATTGACACAACACTTCTGGATACTGTGTGTTTTGACGTTTAAACTCTTTACCTTTTACAGGGGATGTAATTGTCAGCGTGAACGACACCTGTGTTTTAGGACACACACATGCCCAAGTGGTGAAAATCTTCCAGTCCATTCCCATCGGTGCCAGCGTAGACCTTGAGCTCTGCCGAGGTTACCCATTGCCTTTTGACCCAGATGACCCCAATACGAGTTTAGTGACCTCGGTAGCCATCTTGGACAAGGAACCAATCATTGTGAATGGACAGGAGACCTATGATTCGCCAGCAAGCCACAGTAGTAAAACAGGCAAAGTCAGCAGCGTGAAGGATGCCAGGCCAAGCAGCCCAGCCGATGTGACTTCGAACAGCTCCCACGGTTACCCCAATGACACTGTCTCTTTGGCTTCCTCGATAGCCACTCAGCCAGAGCTCATCACTGTTCACATAGTCAAAGGGCCGATGGGCTTTGGTTTCACTATTGCGGACAGTCCTGGTGGTGGCGGCCAGAGAGTGAAGCAGATCGTTGACAGCCCCAGGTGCCGAGGCCTGAAGGAAGGGGACCTTATCGTGGAAGTGAATAAGAAGAATGTGCAGGCTCTCACTCACAATCAGGTCGTGGACATGCTGATCGAGTGTCCCAAAGGGAGTGAGGTCACATTGCTGGTGCAGCGAGGAGGTACGGAGGGTTTTCTTGCTCTTTGCCGTTTTGATCCCAAATCTGTTGCCTCGCTTGCTGTTCTTAGGTGCTTGGTTTAAAAAAAATCTGTTCCTTTACAGTTGTTTTTATTTAAATGTTGGAATAGTTTTAAAATGCCTTTTGAGTGCCCCAGATGCTAGTCTCTTTAAAACGCTGCTATGGTTTATGCAGTGTGCCACACATGTGCAGTGAGAGACATACTTTAAGGCATAAATCACATTATGTCTTTGAAAAACTAAGATTTAAAAACCCTGGCCCTCTCAGTCTCCTGAGACCTGCCAGCACAAGCCTCCGAGTGTGGTGCATACCCACTCCCCATCTCACGCTCTTCCTCCGTCTGTCACTATGCTTTAGCCACTCAGGCTGTTTCGAAAAATCACTTTCGTAGCGCTTCAAGCCCTTTTCTGCCGAGGCCCCTGGTGCCTCCTGTCCCTTTGCCTGGACGTCCCTCTGTTTTGGCTCTTTGTTCTGTGACTGAGCGGCAGTGAGGTCTCTTCTTGAGAAAGGGTTTCTCTGATGACCTAAATTAGCCCCATGACACTTCCATAAAATGCACTTCCTGCACACCCTTCATTGTGATGCCCTTTGTCAGAATCAAGGAAGTGTCAGGTCTTTGTTTTTCTTTTCACTGTCTCATGGATCCGTCAAGCCAGGGCCGGTGTCTGTGTACTGACTGCTGTGTGGCCAGCATGCAAAGTGCCCGCCTCCTCTTAGGCCCCTGAGTGAGTGGCTTTGCGAGTGATTGTTGCAAGGTGGAAGGGCAGTTCTCCCACCAGTGATGCTGAAAGTTTGCCTCAGCCTCCAGTGTAATGAAGTGGGAAAGGACCTCTGAGAACCAGACTGTCCTAGGGGTTGAGATATTAACATGTTCACAGCGCGGCTGTAATTCAGATGTCTCGCTACCAGGCAGCTTGAACCACTGGTGGTCCATATGTGACTGTCCCATCAAGTGGCACGGCACAGTCCCGTCAGCTGGTGCAGCCACCCAGTGGGACACTCGGGCACGGACCGTTGGCAGTCCCAGGTGGTGGGAGTGTGTTACGCTTCCTTCCTTGTTTCTTCCTGCTTAAACCCGCATACCTGCCCCACCTTTGCCAAAATGATTCCTTCCTTACACGGCATATTTGTGCCATCTGCAAAGAGATCAAGAACCAGACTTTCATTTCCTCTTGGTCACATTGCCGTGAAGGTGCCCATTCATGTCACAGCAGCCACACGCGTGCTCCCAGGAAGCTGCATGTGTGTGATCAAAATGACTGGATTCATGGGAAGGAAACCCAAAATACAGAACAATGCCTGATGTGAATCAAACGCTCAACTAAGCTTGCTTAAACGGTTATAAAAGCAATTGCACAGATTTTATTTTTAAAAATGTTCCACTGCAATTCTGAAGTCTCTTCATGAAGCTAGACCACTAGTTTCCTGACAACTGGTTTGTGGATAGTGACCAGATATAGTAGGAGATAACTTGAGCATACAATTGATGACGGCAATAACGATGGCAGTGGTGATGGTACTCGCCTCTTACAGACAGACTGGTGACTTACAAGGCACTGTCCTGCCTGTGCACCCTCTCATCTGATTTTCAACGTTTCTCTGCAGCTTCGAAGGTGCCGGTCCACAGTAGGCCTAAGCAGTTTACCCTGCTGCTATGGTTTCCATTCAGTAATCTGCCTGCTTAACTCTGAACAGCACTGACTTTGCATAATTACTCATTTCTGTGGCCAACAGCCTGGAAACTTCTGAATAGTTCTTGGCCCGTCAGGCACATTTCTGATCCACCCACTGCTCATTTGATAGTCACAGGTCACTATACCGTGCCAGCGCCTGCATTTCTGTTGCTTATGTGTTATGTTTAGGGTTTTTATTGTCCCATTATATTTTTAATTAATTAATTATTTAATTAATTAATTTGATACTGGGGGCTCTGAGCTATATCCCCAGGCCTTTTAAATTTTTTATTTGGAAAGAGTCTTATGAAGCGGTTCACTGTTAGGGTTTCTGTCTGGATGCACCCATGGGTGGGGCTTGGGGGAGGTGATGGGGTCGTGGGAGCATGATCCATTGATGAGGTGGGTCCACTGTCCACTGACGAGGTTACAGCTCGGTGTGGTGTTGGGAGGTACGGCCTGGTTGGGGGAGGCGGGGTCCAGAGGGTGAGGTGAGGGTGAGGCCCAGAGGGTCTCCTCCATCTTCCTCTCTTTACCGCTCTGCTTTGCTGCCATGCCTTGAGCTGTTTCTCCTCTGCCTTGCACTCTGCCTTTGGAGCCAGCTGGCCAAGGACTGAAACCTTTACAACTGTGGGCAAAAATAAACCTTTCCTCCATTAAGTCGTGGTGTCGGGTATTGTGTCCCAGCAACAAGAAAGTAACTAAGAAGCCCATGCTGCCCTCAAACTTACCCTCCCACTGCTGCCTCCTGAGTATCAGGGATTACAGGTGTGTGCCACAGTGCCCAGCTTAGGTTCATTTTTAAGAGGACCAGAAGGTCTCATTAGAGTTTACAAACTGAAACTTACCTGGAACCTTACTGTACTGAATTTGCCTAAAGTAACAAACAAGTTATTATATCCCTTGACTTTTAACTATGTATTTTCTCTTCTTAATTTCTGAGACCTTGTTTCTGTTAATGCTATTACTTTTAATAACATTCATATGGAAAGATTCAGAATATATTGCCTCATTAGTCAACATCTACATGGTTTATTCCAGAACCTGAGTAATTTAAAATCACTGTAACATCAGCAGTCTTTAAAATACGCCATATGCCTGGTGTTTGATTTATGTATGGGATAGAAAGTTTGTACATCTGCAGTTGGCAGGCTAGCACTAGCTACTATTAATCTTTCAGGAAAATATGTAAATATACTTGTTTCTGTCATGCATTAGTTATTTGAATCAAGGCTGACATTTAATCATGCCTTCTGTATGGTGGGGGTATAATGAGGGGGTCTGATAAAGAACAAGACAGCCACGCAGTAAAATCAGAAAGTAAATGACCAGTTCACTGATTTCTCTAATGAATCTCATTTCTATCGAGACTGCTGGTAAGCAGATTGATAAACTCATTAGACCTACACTGTTTAAGAGTCTCAGGAGTTCATATTACAAGGACGAGGTGTTCTGCACTTTATAAAACAGGTCATTTCTGCTTTGGGGAAGTACTGGCTGTGTCTGTGGCATCTGCTTTACTTCTTAATCCCTAAACTCACTTTGACATTTGTTCCTATCAAGATCTGGCCCGTTACCCTTTTTGGTATTTTCAGTCCATTCCTCCTGCTTCCTCTAATATGGGAGCAGCTGGAAGATCTTTTGTGGGCTTATGGCTTGGGCAGTTTCTTGGTTGGGCATGGAATTGCTGGGGTTGTCATTCACACACCTGGGTAGCTGAGCTGTCAGGCGGGCTCACAGCCTGTGCTGCCCACTTCTCTGCCACAGGCCCAGCCCTCAGATGTGCTCAGGGCAGCCTCTTTCCTTCGTCCTTTCCTCCTTGCCCTCTCAGTTAGCAGACTACTCTACACTTTCATAAGGAAACATTGGCCTTAAATCCTGTCTCAGACACCAGAGTGAGCCTAGAGGCTTCTTTGAGATGTGTGAAAAATTACACTAGACAATGACTGCTTAACAGTGCTTCCTTAAACATTTATTTACTAAACATGGAATTGTTCCCATAACAATACTTCCCTTTTTAGAAAGAGACTGTGTGTAGGCAGTGCAGCCCCCTCCGTGTACTCAGCTAACTCACAAACTCTATCCTTAAGCTGCTGAATTCCTGTAAGCAGTTTACTGCTCCTGCCTTGACGTTAATTTCTCTATCCAAAAACTAGATGTTCTGAACTAGAAAATCTTTCAGGCAGCCTGTTCTGGCTGTTTTATGCAAAGAATTGTTGTGTGGAAGAAAGATCACAAGATTCTGGAGTCAGAAAACAAAAGTTCGGATCAAATTTGAATGAAAAGTTTATAGGGTGTGTGACTTTAGGCAAGTCATTCACCTTCTCTGAGCCTAGTTTAACATCTGAAAAACGTGAATAAGATGTGCCATGCATATGCATGGTAGATAAGGTAGCATTTGTGCCAGTCCCTGACATAGAAATAACTGTCACATCATTAATCTGTGGGGTTCTGCTGACACTGCTAATACCAGAAGCATGTGGGAGGAAGTGGCATCTCTAGAAGATAAGTATTGGGTCCGTTTGACTTGAGCACAGTGAGAGATATGTGTATAGATCCAATTGTCTGTATGGCACTGGCGCAAAATCAGACGTGAGGATCAGTGGAGCAGAACAGAGGAAGCAGGAACAACTCCAGTGCATTCAGCCATCTGGTCTTTGACAAACACATACACTGGAGGAACGACGGCCTCTTTAATAAATGGTGCCTTTAAATTTTATGAACAGAAGCTTTCTTGGTCTCCTTTGAGGTCCTACCACCTTCTCCATGCTTGTGCTTCAGCAGACAGAAGGGAGGTTGGATACTAGAGGTGCTTGTTTTGAGCACAGCCTGCACTGGCTTTTGTTGATCACAGAAGCTGTAGAAATGATGTGTTGCTCATCATGTATACTTTCACTGGTTCACTAAATTTAGGGTCTAATTCTAAAGTAGTAAAATATTCAAAGCCAGGTGTGGTGGTACACACCTGTAATCCCAGGTGGGACTGGGAGGCTGAGGCAAGAGGATCAGTGTGAGTTCGAGACCAGCCGGGGCTATATAGTGAGTATAAGGTCAGTCTGAACTACATAGTGAGACCGTGTCAGAGAGAGAGAGAGACAGAGAGAGACAGAGAGAGAGAGAGAGAGAGAGAGAGAGAGAGAAAGAAAGGGAGAGAGAGAAAAAGGGAGAGGGAGGGAAGGTGGGGGAGAGGGAGAGGTTCAAATTCCTGTTGAGCAGGTCTGAGTCCAGCTTCTCCTTATATCACAGGCACCTCGTGGGGAACCCAGCCTGTGGAGAGGTCTCAGTAAATAATAGTTGAATACATTAAAT